GGCGATACCGCCTCCGAATATTGTACCACCAGCTGGAGCAAGCGCATTCGTATAGACCCCCACATACACAAAATAAGGGGTGCAGCNTTTTAAACTTACGCTCGTTATCAACAGACGTCACAGATGAATTTTTATCAAAATAACACAGTGTGCTGGTGGCTTCACAGATTAGATTGATGCTTTAAGCGGGCGAGGGCTGGGTACGGATTGCAAGTAAGCCTCGACCCCCGGAAGTTTGAATCAAAACGGTCATTTTCAAACCCCCCTCCAAACGGACCTTGTTCAAAACGAAAAGGTCTGCACTACTAGAGGTAAAACATTCTTTTCATTTCAAAAGACAAAACTTTAACTGAGGCGATTTCGTATTAATAAAGCAAGAATTGTGGTTGATAAGCTTACTATAAGTAAACTGTGCCCTATTTAAATAAACCTGAATTTATATTTGCAAATGAAGTAAAAAAAAAAAAAAAAAAAAAAAAAAAAAACACATACACAGAAACTGGCGATTAAAAAAAATAATTTTACAGTAGGATTCGGATCTTTTTTTAAGGGCAAAGTCCACATATGCAATTAAAAAGAAACTGATTTAAGGGATATTTTTACGCCGACAGATTGCCGCCTTATAAGCCTTTGGGAATACGTGTTAAGTTATATCGTATTTTCCCGATTAGTAGCTGGGAGGAATTACCGAAGTAAACTTTTGGAAACTATAAAGAAACCTCAAGCTGCTAAATTGGTTCTTTTACTGTCAAAATTCAGATTTTGAAAGCAACTTTACATCACTACATAGTATTATGCTGTCAGAAAACGGCGCTATTTACGACGTGCGGTACGTTCACTTGCCTGGCACTTCATCCACGGAATCTATGATTAGCATCAAAAACAGAACAAAATATAAACCAGTTCAGATTCCTTTGGCAACTGTAGTCTATTTACAGGGAAGTCGAAAAATCCTTTTACATTTAGTTCTTGGTTGTTCCTGTCCAGACACACTTTGTCTGGCTCAACTACTGCAATGACGACCTGCATCACAGGCTGTTCCTGCGGAAAATCACTTCATTGCTGCATGCATTTACTTGCTACATTCGAAACGGAATGCTGGACTCTTTCATATAAAATCAAGTAATACTTCATTCACATGTGAAAAAACATTGCTGTTTTTGATAAATATCGAGGAAAATTTTGAGGATCTTGGGGAGTTGCTCCAGCTCATAATAACAACAACAATACATTAATAAGTAAGGAGAAATTAGTATAAACAAGCCAAATCCAAGTTAGTGGCAATTTTAATTCTCTTGCTTAAGGAAAATACAATAACAAATATAACATCAATGAACAAGAAAAATATGAAATCACATCCATTAACATCATGTTCTCTTCCAAGTCTACAATGACTTATAATAATGGGATGTTCTACGCTGCATAACAATATAAACACAATGAATACGTTCTTGTCTCAAATACCGTACAGAAAAATATATGACCTAAAACAGCATATACTGTATTTTTGAAATATGACAGCAAAGCTGTCAAATGTACAGATATATAGCAGGAAAAAAAAAACAAAAAAAAAACACTGGGTACATGGCAAGACGGGAGACACCTGAAGAGCAGAATAAGTGTCCAGTGAAGGGATGCACCAGTAATTTGACAGAGGAACATGCCTGGCGGAAACATCCCTCCTTGAAGGAGCAGATTTCTCAGGGATTTCTCAGAGTTGGAAGCAGAAAGTAGAGAATAATCAGGGCTTGGGACTCTCAGGCAAGTATGCCCTTAAGGTAGGTTCCCTACTGCTTTGGAAACCCTTGCTGGGTTTAAGCGGTCACTCCTTCCATGGGATGGTGAAGAAATGAGTGGTGCACTTTTCAAACATTTTTTTCAGTGCAAATGCTTTGAAGAGAAACTGATGGTTATTCTGGAGAGGGCTAGACAGTTGCTTTAAACAGAAAAGCTTTAACATAGTTTTAACATAGCCAGATCCCATCAGCTTTTCGTTCATTTTGAGAAATGATAGTGTTCAAGCTACCAGCAGAGTCCACTCTCAGGTACTACACTATGTTTTGCACCCAAGTGCAGGTTTTCAGATGGAAGTTTTTTTGGAGCTTAAACAACTAGCAGAAAAACTAACTGACAAGGAACAGTTGGTTTCCTTGATACATTATGAAATTGCTATAAAGTCTGGGCTGGCTTGAACAGCAAGAAAAAGAAAGATCAGCAAGGGAGAACCACCTTACTGACAAAGGACATTGGCTTTGCTCGATGCAAGAAGCAATTGCTCTCAAGACCATGGTGGTGCATGACCCTTGGAGTAGTGAACTGGTTGACTACAATGATGAGCAGCAAAGAAATAAAAGGTTAGTGAGGGAGAACCACCTAGCTACAAATGTTCTTGTTTTTATGGTAGTTGGAATCACAGGTACCATCAAGACGAGTATTGGGTACTTTCCAATGTGTCACTGACTGCAACAGCTGATCAAATATTTCCACATAAATGGACAGCAGTTGGACTTCTAGAGTGTATGTAATTTGAAGGTATTATCACTTTCTGGAGACTCTGTGTGTGGATATCTAATATTGCATATCTAGTAGTTTATAGAATAATTCTTCTCTTATAATCAGATGTTTTCAGTCAGGCACTGCCCAACAAACATGACAAATGCAATTGTATAAATATTGTTCTTCCCAAGTGTTGTACTTTAAAATTCTTGTAGACCATGTTTTTCATTATGAATCATATTTCTAGCATTTTGTAATCATTCAGGTGATTTCTTTCACAAGTGACAAAGTAAGTCCCAACCAGCATCTGATCTGGCTTCACAGCATACTCAAGTCTCAGAATGTATTTTTACTCTTAGTGATGCTCCTCATCTTGTGAAGACCTCGAGAAATAACCTCGCTTCTACAGGTTTGGGGAAAAACACCAAATGTCTGTGGGTATAGAACTACTTTTTGTCATTCCTATGATTGACTAGCTAGTTATAAGATACATGTGCACTTTGAAATAATGAAGCACAAGTATTTCCATTTCTAAAAATGTTTTTCTGTTAAGAAATATTCAAAAAATTTAGTAAAAAAAAAAAAAAAAAAAAAAAAAAAAAAAAAAAACATTTATAAGTTGAAGATCCACATATTGCATATCTTACATTCACATTCTGGTCACTTTTATCCTATTTTCAAAACAATCAGTCAGAATTTGTGGTCACAAGATTTACAGCAGAACACATCCATTGCAAACTTCAGTCAATCAGGAGAGTTTATTTGGTAGCGCAAGAAAATTATCCATGATAGCACATGATACTCTAATTTTCTACATTTGATTTGTCCTGCACACATTCAATAACAGAATGATACTAATTGCTCTTAAATTTAATGCAGGTGCAAGAATGTCTAGGCTCTTTGTTTCTGTAGTAATTATTTTTTCTTAGATTGAAACATGTAAATACATAAAAAAGTAAAATTTTTGTAAGTTTGTTTTTGTTTTTACTAGGACTTGGATGTCATCACCGTCTAGATATGTCTTTGATAAAATTGTGCTGAACTGTTGTGAAAGAAGTCCTGTTTTCGCGATGGATGTCGAGAACAACATCCGTGTGAAGAAGGGACAAGGTCCCTCACAACCCCCCCCCCCCCCAATAGTTCCACCTGTCCTGTGTCTGTGGGAAATGCAGACACATGCCCAATGCTCCAGAGAAGAAATATCGCCAGCTGCCAGAGAAGTATAAAAGCCTGGACCCTGTATGCATTTTTCGTTATCAAACTGTTGCTATGCAACACTTTAGACAGAAACAACCATTCTCTTCAATATACTGGTAAATCTTCACAACTCTAGTAATTTTTAAATGTGATATACCAAGTTCTCATCTTCAGGATTAATTCCATATATATGGCCTTTCCAAATACCTAGATATAAAACAATAGTAGAAGGTCTTGTTTTTATTATTTCAGATTATGGAGTTCAACCCTTTTCACCTGGTCATTTATCGCATCATAAGGGGCATCTATGAGGGTCGAGATGATGCCAGGTAGGAGAAAGAAGAGGACAATGCCTCCATGCTTTGAAATACCTTTTTCCCTTGTCATCTGTCCTGTTACAAGGGGTGACTATGAGGGTCGAGATGATGACAGGGAGGAAAGAGAAGAGGATAATGCATCCATGCGTCATGCTGCCTATAGAAGCTTCATAGCTTGGCAGTACCACAAGCTGACGGCTGGAGACAGAAGGGTTATACCATCCTGCTGTGTGTGGATATAATTTACCCAAGTTCTCGTCTTCACAATTAATTCCATATACGGCCTTAACAAATAAATGAGAAAAAAAAATAGACATAAAACAACAGTCAAAGGCCTTTTTTTATTATTTCAATTATGGAGTTTGACATCTTGAACCCTTTTCACCTGGTCATCTATCCTGTCACAAGGGGTGAATATGAGGGTCGAGATGATGACAGGTAGGAGAAAGAGGACAATGCATCCATGCGCCATGCTGCCTATAGAAGCTTCAAAGCCTGGCAGTACCACAAACTGACAGCAGGAGACAGTAGGGTTATACCCTTTTGCTGTTTGTGGTGGATAAGGGACAGATTGCCCTTCCCAACTGGACAATGGGTTTTGGGGGAGGGGGGGGGGGTAACCTGACAGGAGAGTTGAGACTGGGAACAGCCAGGAATAAATGTGGTGAATGTTGATTTTGTAAAGATGTGAAAAAATGGGGAGGATCATGGCTAAAACAGATATGTATTAGAAGGCAGACTGACCTAGTGTTAATGCTCTAGGTCCAGAAATTGGGAAGAATCAAGGGTTATTCGCCCCCTCAGAGGAGAACCTTGCATTTAGTTCAGGTTTACTTTTGGATAAAAAATTTAAAATATGTTTTGTTTAAATTATTTTGGAAATGCTGATAATATTATCAAATGACGTAACATGTTTTTGGAGAGGCATGCAAAAAGTGGGAAAGGTGAGAAAAATTCTTCTGAAGGATGAAGAAAGAAAGTCACAGTGAATCTGTGGGGGATGCTTTAGCTCTGAAAGATGTTTTTCTGTTTCCTGAGACAAAGATCTGAACAAAAATGTCTCGTCTGTTTTGAAGGTTCTGCCTTTGGATGGAAGGGCAGATGAAATCAGTTTACAGTAGATAGAAGAGGATGGAGACAATATGAAACATCTAGAATCAGAAAAAGAATCTATTTGACCAGTCTCCTAAGAGATAATTTCTGATGCCTTCTTCTGTACATCAAGGAGGATATCGAGTCTCAGCTGCCAGTTAAATCTCAGGCTGACCATGCAAAGCCACTACGTATTGATAAAGCATGTATGCTGTGGTTAATGCATTTCTTCATAACTAAACCACGTCTATACAGAATACATTTTTTCCACTGCTAAAAGCTCTTGAACTATAATTAATTAGTAATTAATCCAGCAAGCCTGAGGGTAATAAGTCAAATTGTTATATTGAGTTAACAATGAAAAGTGCACAGCAACAATGCTGAAAACAACAACGACGGATGCAGGTGATAGCTATATGAACAGACAAAATGTCTGTACATAAAAAACTTATTTCTGCCTCATTAAGAAAAGCATGAAACAACAATACATTTATCGATGATAATTTTAGACCTCAGTGGTGCAATCTTTGTAAGATCTCATTCTCATCTTTTCTTGTACACACAGGGTTGTAGTTCAATCTTCGGAAGGTTTTTACTGTCCGTCTTCTTCACCTTTTCAAACTGGAACATCACAAACATTTTGTTTGATGTGTCCTGAAATTGTGCAAAATTTAGACTTCAAATATCTTATTCTCAAATTTAACATCAGCTTCTCATATACTAGTTTACAAAAATAAAAGCATAACTTAGTAAAATTATGTATCACATCTCGCTAATGGTCAAGTCTGGTTCAGAAGTAGTTCTCTCTCAGTTACAACATACATTTTTTTACAAGACGATTAAAATGCAACATTAAGCATTCATATTTTCTTATCTGTAAAATTAAACTAAATTCTTTGTCATGCACATTTTATGAGGGAGCAGGGGCAAGCAGCTGAGGGGAAGGGGTTTCAATGCAATTCTTATCATTATTGCTCTCCATCTTACTATACTTACTGTATGAAGCGAAGAAAACCCCATCTGTTCAACACTTTTAACAAATGCTCCAATTCTGTCAAATCTGCTCACGACCTCTGCAATAAGCAGCTTGCCTCTTCAACAAAATCAATCTATTACATATAAAGTGAAAGGTAAAACAAGATTGCTTTGCTTCAAAGGATTTACACTGATGCTCAAGCTTAAAAATCAAACATTTTAAGTTTTTTTCCCAAACATCCTGCCATTACCTTCTGTACTGCTAAAGACTATGATCTTAGGGCAAACAAACCTAATAACAAGCTAGAAACCCTTCCACTATTCATCATTCATCCACAGAAATTGACACACATGCATGCTGAACCCATTTCTGCTTCTGTTTGCATGCCTATTTTCGGAAATGCATGTTTGGTTAACCCATTTATTGCATTCTGGTTACCCACGCATGTGCATAACAGGAAATAGGCATGCAAACACGACCAGCCGAAAAGCAGGAATGGGTTAACATGCGCACCATTATCTGTGGAAAGGTACACCACTCACCCCTTCTTTAACACCCTGTTGGCCTCCCTCAGGAAGTCTACCAGGTTAGTCCCCATCAGCGCCAGACAGAATACCGCCACACCAACACTGCCATCTTTGAGAGGGGTCTGTAGAAAATCAATGTACGTGGAAAATTGGAATTCATGTTAATGCTTTTTACTGTTATACCCACTGCTTGGTCAGATCTTCTTGAGACTGGAATGGTTTTTCATGAATGTTTGACAACCTAATTTTTTTTTAACTTTAGTATTCATATCTCATAACTGGTAAAATCATGTATTACTAACTAGAGTGAGCCCAATTTTTCCCATTTCAAAATTGTAATGGAACTGCTAAATAGATTGAAATAACATGCTTAAAATACAGAAAAACAATTTTACCTTAGCCATGTCACACACAGTGACATACTTGTTCACGGCAACCAGATCAAAGGAATGCACCTGATTGGATACAGACTGCGCTATCTTGGCATCTCCGCAGCCAAAATCTGCTACAACCTCATTGCTTGCTCTGTAGATGATGCAAAAATTAGAAATAAATTTAAGAGACCCATCTGACAAAACTGTGCTAAATAGTTTAATGTGAAAATTGTAAAGCAGATGTGTAGAGCTCAAGGGCCACAGAAATAACAGAAAAGAGAGATAGGTTGTGTGCAGGCTGTTTCCTTTTATTTTTGCTAAGTATATACAGAAAATTGTCCTTCTATTACAGGAGCCAGAAAGTGCAAACAGTCATACAAACTTACAAACACAAAGACCCACCAACATATTCAAAAACCTCCAAAGGGGGATTTCAAAGTAATAACAAAGAAGTTATACTATTGTGAAACAAAGTAAAAGAAAAGAGAATGCTCACTTACTTTTTCTTGATGAAGTCTATGATAGTATTAACTGGGCTCTGTGGCCATTTTTCCACTTGATTTTGGAAGCCGTCATGATAGGCCTGGAAAGCTTCTGGATCAGAGCGGAACATCTTCACTGCCTCCTCACTAGGTAGAGTGTAAAGCTGTTCATTCAAATAGCGGAACCTTCAGAAAATTAAAAAAATTATGAATTAAGTTTTCTACCTCTGGTAGCCAGGTTAAATTTCATTTGGCTTATGAAACATAAAAAAACTTACTTATCACATAATAGAAGAAGTTTTCTGGAAAAATATCAAGCAAATATTGTGTTTATGAAACTGATTACTTTCCTTAATTGTACTATTGCTCTTATATGGTTACCTTGCTGCATGAAGACGCTCCATCATCTTTTCACGAAGCACCTGTGACTTGTTTTGTGACTTGGACTGAGGCGAGAGAATCTCCTTGGTTTCAAATTTCTCTTCTTTCTTTGTGACCATTTTAGTCTTCTTTTCTCCTGCATTGATTTCATCAGCCTGAAGCAGAGCCTTCACTTTATTTTTATCCAATCCAGTCTTAGACTTTGGAGCCAACTGAAGATTATTCGAGTCATCTTTCTCAGCTACAGGTTGGCTGATGACATCCTTTGTCACCTTTCCCTTCAAAACCTTATGTTCTTTACCAGTTTTTCTTTCCCATTTATCCACTTTAGAAGATTTTCCTTTAGTCCTTTTTGAAACACTCTTCGCAGAAGCATTACCTAATTTTTCAACTTCTGCAAGTGTATTTCTTTCTACAGAATATTTCTGCTTTTTTTCAGATGATTCACTACTTGTACTTTGTGCCATTTTGGTCCCATTAGAAAAGCCATTGCCATCACCAACTGATGCGCTCAGTTTTCTCTTCTTGTGATTTGTCACACTGTCAACAGCAGTGGCATTGTCCCTTTTGGACATATTGTTGTCCTTCATTTCATCCCCAGGACGTTCTTTCTTCCTCTTTAAACTACTTTTGCTCAAGTTTGTTTCAATGCAAGCACCTTTTGGCACAGTTTCAGTTTTCAGTTGTTTTTCATCAGCCTGTCGTGATCCTTCTTTAGAATTAATCACAAAATCTCCTTTATTTGCATTGCCTGTTGAAGCACTCTTTTCCCTCTGCTGTGCTTCCCACAAATCTTTATATTTGTTTTTCTTAGCTTTTCTTTTTCTCTTCTTTTTCTTGGGAAGAGAGGGCCGAGTTGTGTTGGATGCTTCAGCTTTCTTCTGAGTTTGTGTTACTGTGGTGTCCTTTCCACCTGAACTTTCATCATTCACAGTCTCTTTCTTATTCTTGTCAAAGTCTTTGTATTTATTTCTTTTTTTCTTATTTTTATTGATATCATTTTGAGACTTTTCCAAATTTTTGTGTTTCTTATTCAATTTAAACTTTGGCACAGATTCTCCCCCATTTGTCGTCATTTTCGCAGTGGGTTTGTGAATTTTCTTCACTTTTGCTACCATAGCACTATTTTGCACGTGACTTGTACTCTTTCCCTGCAATGATCCTGGACTCCCAACTTTGTGTTTCTTCTTAGAAAGGCTGTCAACTTGCCCTAATGGTCTCTTTTTGGTTTTCTTTTGACTGGCACTAATCTCATCTGAACCTGAATGGTCTGTATTAAGATGTGGCTTCTTTTTCTTCTTTTCCTGAAAAAAAAAAGACACATTATAAAATGTGGTTTCTAAAGATATAATTTAAACAAATGTGAAATGTGATTTATATAAGACTTTCAACATTAATTGCATTTCAATTTCCTAGGGTTTAAAAATGAAGGATATAGAACCAGACTAAAATGTAAAATCCCATATTTCATTTTTAGATTGGGGGCACACGTTAAATACTCTAAATAAAATAAAAATTTTTAAGGTTTATATAAAGTACATTTTCTTTACTCTTGCCAAACAAACTGTGGTCTAGTTGGTTTGCAGATCTATCAACATCCCAAACCTCTGCTTCAAACATCCTGAAAAAGGAGGCAAAATACTAATAAATATATATATTGGATATTTACTACTACCCCCCCCCCCCCCATTCACATCCCCACCCCAACAGGATTAAAAAATAAATAAAATTTTGGTGTTTATTATTTAGCCTTGTTCAACAGAGGTCAGCGTCTAGATAAGTACAACAGACTGTACAATTAACCTCCTTGAGTGTAATTTAAGCCTTACACACCGATGCCCTACATTTTCTCAGCTAGCGACCTTGCTGCACGCTCCTCGTTTTTATCACTTTATGGAAAGATAGTCTAGTGCAATTTTGAGAGTCCCAATCACGGTAAATACAGTGTAACACCAATGTAAACCAACCTTAAACCTTGCCAACCCTTGCTGGTGGTATAAAAAAGAAAGCAAAATGCTGTTCTCAAAACATTTTTTCGCTGCTCTGCATTCGCACGTGCTACTGACCGTAAGTGCCTGAAACCGGAAGTAAATATGCGTGTGGAAAGGTGCGCGCAGCTCGCTAGATAGAGGGAGTGGGAATCAAGACAGTTGTAATTAGATTGCTTTTGTTTTCAGCTGCTATTCTGATTACATAGACGTAGTGTTTCATTGATTAGTGGATATTTACGTCGTGAATATAACAGCCATTAGGGATTTACGACACTTGGATAGTTACGATCAGAAGAATACACACAGTCGACCAGCAGATTTGTCGATTTCAGCCACACACGATATAGCTGAACTTGACTCGGAAGCAGCAGCATACCTGACATACTTATGCCAACTTCATGGTGGATTCTTGTTTGTGACTGTTACTGAATGACCTCTAGGACAAATATTGAACTGTTTTTCACACAGAATGGATGACATCTTTACACAGGTTCGGGAAGGGAACGCGTTTCACGTGAGAGTGTGGTTAGACAACACAGAGAATGATCTAAACCAAGGGTAAGAATAAAAATAAATTCCTAGAATTAGAAGACTTGCACTATGCTAGCATTGGGTGTTAAAACTGCGGTCGTGTTTACAATAGGATTTACTAGGTTTTGGAATGGACTTATTTGTACTGAAGAAGCTTGTGAAGTTGTTTACTGAGTGTGTGTGTGTGTGGGTTGGGGGGGGGGGGGGCAGGGTATAATTTGAATGTGAGTCTCGGCAGTCATTGTGGTATCCAGAGCACCAAGTAACTGTTTTGCAATCTCCAGCACACTTAGCAACCTAGCACAAACATGCATTATAATATTAGTTTTCAGATATATATTCATGTACTAAATAAGAATGCTACAGGTATATACTAGTACTGTATATAAGTCATGAAGTCCTGAATTTCCAAATAGCATCACCACCTCCCCCTTTTTCGCCTCCTTGCTCCCCCATTCCCCCCGTCCACTACCATTCATTTTCCCTCCTTTGCAGCAGTGTAAAAATGTGACTGGGTGTGCATGGTAAATTCTGTAAAGTAATATTAGATTGTGTACATTTTCATAGGGGAGTCACTTCAGATAATAGCATTTACTGGGTTCATTTGGTTGAGCTCACTGTGAGCTTGTATTTTGCTAATTGGACATTCCTTGTAGGTGAACACACATGTAGCTAGTGGACATTAGAACTGCCCATTTTTACAGCAGGTTAAATGAAAATGACTGTTATATTGGTGCATAAATATTAGAGATTTAAATGTGTCAGTCTTAATATTGAAATGGGGAGAGGGGTGGAGTCTCTTCCTTCCTCATTTCTGGCTTTAAATGAATCATTTGTAATATTTACCCTTGCCTGCCTAGCTTCAGGGAGTAACTTAAATGTAGAAAAAAAACAATAATGTGTTTTGCAGTTTGCACCATCAGCCAAAGCAGTTACTCTCCTATAGAGGGTCGGTCTCTGGGTTCGTATAAAAAAGATTGCATTTTATATAGCACTAACCCACTATAAGACCTAAAGGGCTAGTATCCTAACACATTTGTGGCACTTACTGTAAGTTTTGAAAATCCTCATGATCATTTGTTACTTGTAAAATATAAATTATGTACCATTAAAACCAGTGAAATTGGGCGTTGAGCTTGTTTAATATATTAAACCACATATATACCAGTCACCACAAATGCCAGCAGCTTTAGGAAGTCTATATAGTGCTATGATTTCAGTTGATATGAGTCAGGAAATGTGCAAGATAGAGCTTTCCACCCTTCTTAGCCAAGTAGCAGGTTGATTTATTTCAGTAAAAAACATAAACAGTTTATCATATATATTTTTTCTGTGTATATTCATGTAGTGGGAAGGGTAGGGAGGGGAGGACACTGGTAGATACACTAAAAGATTTTTCGCCTCTGTTTTCTCCTTAAAAGATGGAAAATGGCCATCACCACCTTCAATAATCTCGCTTACTAGTAAGTATCTATCTTAGTATTTTATCCATTTATTGTGCCGCTTGGTCATCAAGGTGTTCCTGCTCGAGCAACACAGGGTGACTCCCACTCTCGCCACCAACACCAACCACTTATTGAAGCAAGCAAATAATTTCTTCCTCTCCTTCCATATAGCAACTATAAATTTATTTATAAGAAAGGTACAGTATACAGCAAATAGGAATGGTTTTCTGTAAGAAATAATTTTATTCAGGTAAAGAAAATGGAACCCTTCCAATATCTGCCTACTTAAACCAGTCTGATTCAATTACTGTCTGCCTCTGTCTCAGTTTTCCTCATATGGCTGTTTATCTACTAGAAGTCTGACTGGGTCAGGGTCCCTGCAGGGAAATGGCAAGCTGTTTGATTGAATTAGATATCAGAGGGCAATTCATATTTGCCAATTGTGATTAGAAAAAGCTAGATTTACAGGCTGGGCCTAGAAACAATTAGAGGGGAAAATGGCTTGGTGGAAAATTTTTTGTGGTTTTATCCCTTTCTGTCTTAGTTGATGGTTTTTATTACAACTGCACTGCATCAGTCGATTGTGGCTTTTATTCCACATGCAAAGTTGAAAAACACATTTTTTTTGTTCAGTTTAATAATTATGAATTTTTTATGGCATTAGGGAGTCACCTGGACAATATGAATTGAACCTTGAATAGAAATGCATAATTACTGGTATTAAAAGTGGCTGGAAATATATTGTTTTGTATGTTTGAACTGAAATCTTACAGTATCTGAAAATCCTTGCATAGTTCATACTGTTTTCTTTTATGTGCATGTTACATTTTTAGAAGCAGGAGAGAGAAAAAGAAAACACCACATAACTATACTAATCATCTTACTTGATACTACCACACTGTTTTAAAAAAGCTGTGGCCTAACCACTTCAGCAGTTTTACAAGGCACTACATGCAATGGCTTGTGTGGGCTTGTTTGTTTTTTTTTTTCATCTTAAATGCCATTTGATTACTGGATAATAAGAACATGAGAAAGAACTGTTCTTTATCCAAGTTGATGACTTCTTTTTAATTTATCAGTTTAAGATGTTGGGTACCCTCCCTTGCTTCTTCAATTTGTTGAAATTGTGCAGGATGGATAACAACATCTTGTAGATATTCTCTAGTCATTTGGGATCTCCATATGACTGGTCATTTAACATGGATGTTTATGTTAATTTTTTTCACTCTGAATGAAAATTATTTTAAGTTATATTTCCCAAGTGTATTTTATAATTATTACAGAGAAAAGGGGCAAGTGAAAATTAGGTCCAAGATCGATTTTTTTTATGACTGCTTGGCAATCAAGGAACTTAAAATGAGAGCTATAGTTTTTATTGGGGGAGGGGGGGGGCAGATGTTTAAAATTTGTGAGTAATTATGGTAACATGTGGACAGACAGCTGTTAGTGCCCTCTTCATTAAGCCCAGGTGTGTTAAAACCTATGAACTTCCCCAGAGTAGTGTGTTTGATCTATAGCTCCTGGGAGCAGTGCTGGATGCTGAAAGAATTAACTAAACTCATTACTTCAGATGTTCCGTTTTTTCATGTTTCATTGCCCCATTTTATAAAAGATAATGGTCCATGCTAATGCTACAAGTCAAACTTGTGTTGAGAGCCAACAGATACTAGTATATTAATTGTACCATTCTGTGCTCAATAAACATCAGTATTATTATTTTACATAACAAAAAAATGAGGTTGAAATACCTCATTTCAAAATGGAGATGTTAGGAATTTACATTATGATTTTCAAAGCAGAAGCAGGTGAGGGCTGGTTGAATTATTTTTATAAGAATTATAAGTAGTTGGCAAACTGAATTGATGGAAGAGCAATGTATTGGAAATAATAAGAAATCCAGGAGGTTAGTTTATAAATCATCATATTTCTGTCTCTGTTTAATGTTATAAACATAATAGATGAGGAATTCAGTGGTATAAGTTTTGCATTACTGACATAAGTTGTATTTTACGAAAGTTATTTATGCCAGCACTATCATAGTATATATTACTAGTACTCTCTCTCTCTCTCTCTCTCTCTCTCTCTCTCTCACACACACACACACACACACACACACACACACACTAGTATATATACTGTACATTATAACTTTAATGATTACAAACACATGGTTTCTAGAAGACCCTGCCAATGGCAATATCTGTTAGTTTTGATTGATGTGCGGCATACCTGGAGTAGTATAGGCTCACTTTGTACTGCTCTCTGACACACTTTTACCTCATCAGCTGTACATCCATCTTCACAGCTCTGGTTCAGCCCATATTGTCCTGTCCTGGTTTACTATAAAATGCCAGAACAGTAATAAAATGGGAGGTTCAGATGTTTTTGGTTAGTCTGTTTTATAATGTCTGCTAGCTATTAGTTCTTATAATTACTTGGTGTGGTGGCCATATTATTATGTCAGTCAATCAGCTTTAAAAAAAGTCAGAACATTGTTTTAATATCATTATTTTCACATTCCCAGGATTACTTTTCTGCTAATTCATACAAAAAAAAATGAAATTATGAATTTTTTCATGAGAACAATTACTGTGGAAAATGGGCAGGGCTTGTATAAAAAATGTTCTAAATTGTCCATTACTTTCCTGAGCAACGTGTAGTACCAAATCCTGTTTTTTTTATCTAATTCAGAGTCACTCACCATAGAGGATAATGCATGATTTATCTTATAAAAATGCATGATGTTTCTATAAACCCTGTGTTATTCCAGAGATGACCACAGGTTCAGTCTGCTCCACTGGGCGTCCAGAGAGGGACGCACTAACATTGTGGACATGCTGATACAGCGAGGAGCGCGTATTAATGCCACTAACATGGGAGACGACACAGCCCTCCACCTTGCTGCCAGCCATGGCCACAGAGATATCGTACTCATGGTAAGATTCAAGGCTTTAAGAGGAGCAATTTTGACTGGTGTTTATATTTGTATTGATGGCACTCATGTATGTAACTGGGCAATTAGTTGTAAATGCAGCAAAGTTAGCAAATGTACAAGTCTTTTTCACAAAAGTCTCATATTAATATTGTATTATGATTGAAGTGCTGTGTCCCTTTTCTTCCAGCTTCTCCACAACAAGGCCAACATCAATGCTATCAATGAACACGGGAATACCCCTCTCCACTACTCCTGCTTCTGGTCACAAGACATTATCTCAGAGGTAGGCTCTCACTGGTTTGAGTTTTTCTCAAAGGTTTTATATTGGGCTTTGTCTTCAGACTGTATTAAATTGTGGGGTGGAGAGAGGAGAGAGAAAGAGAGAGGTGTTGGAGGGAAAACTGAGAAAGAATCAGTTCAGAAAGGTCATAGACGTGGCATTATGAAAGGACATTGGGACACCTTATTAAATCGTGTCTATTTCTTCTCAACAGGATCTGGTGAACAATGGTGCTTTAGTGTCAATGTGCAACAAGTTTGGAGAGACGCCTTTAGACAAGGCCAAACCCAGAATGGCAAAGATACTCAAAGGTGAGTGTGTCATACTGGTGCTGCCATCTAGTGGGGCCTATTTATGATAATATCCGGTTTTATGAGGAAAATCAAGGAAATTATTTTGTAAGCTGAGAGCCTGAGTGTATCTGTATTGATGGCACCAGTGTAAAAATCTTATTTTTTCTCAAATGAAATGTGTGTTCAATTAGATAAAAAAAAATTCAATCTCTAGTATATTATTATATAACCTTAACATTGTTGTACATGGTAAAAATTGATGTTTTTAGATTATTAAATTGAAATACACATAATAAAATCATAATGAGATTGTGTATTTACTGTATGTTAACCCTATGTATATAATACTGTTATTTAACACAAAGTGTATGTCTTTGTTTTATATCTAGTTTTCTGTTCTTTATTTCAGACCGTGCTGTTGCCCTAGGACAAGACCTGAACAGAATTCCGTTCAAGGACAGGAGTTGGTTGGGATATAAGACCAGAAGCCGTGAGTTTAAGTTCAAATCAGTATTGCTAATATGCATTGTTGCCTTGTGGATAGCATTAAAGAAAAAATTAAGAACCAGAAACAGGTTGTTTTTTCTTGGAACATCTTGTGGTACTTATTTAAGCAGAAAAGTATCGGTTACTAGTAGTTGTACATTGTCTATTGAAATGATAATGAGTCAGTGTGTGAAAGAAGTCATGGGAACAAAAGTGGTTCTGCAGCTTAAAGCTAGCAGCACAGACCTGTCCACAGGTGTCACAGGAACCACTGTGTACTTCTTGTTACACAGTCAGTGTGTATGCAGAGTTCATGAATTGATTGGTTTTTTCCAGGTGATGCCACGCTGTCCAGGAACGCAGGAATTGACATCTCTCAACTGGCCCTCACTCAACAGATCAGCAACACTCATTCTGGGAGTGTAAGTACTAGTAGATGTGCAGGGGCAGGGTGGATTTTTTATGGCAAATTATCTTTGGTATTAGACAAGATTTTGATAATGTTACAAAATGTAAAACATCCTTTCACTTAAAAAAAGAGGCTGCTTAATGACAAATAAATAAAATGCATAAAATTAAGATTTTAAGATGTGAAAAATGTTGGAAACTTGCAAATTTTTAAGGTTCCTCTTTTTAAGGAATAACCCCTTTTATGTAATAAAAATAAACTTTGGGAATTGCTTCATTTTTAATGAAATGCGACTTAGTATTTTGATGCTACTGCAGGTGTGGAGGGGGACTTGGCAAGGGAATGATATCGTAGCCAAAATCTTGAAAGTCCAAGAAGTAACATCACGCATTGCTAGAGACTTTATGGAAGAATTTCCAAGACTAAGGTGGGTGACAGTTTCCTAGAATGCAATGGAGGGGGAGGGGGTGTAATCTCTTCACTTTGTCTGAACATATAAAGAATTTCTTTTTCTGTTGTGAAAAGTGCTTTTTGTGTATAACACTAGTTTTTACAATCAGAATTGAATAAAATTTGAATTAAAAGAAATATTTGCCCTTTGAATATTGTTTTAATCTTTTTTCAGTTTATATCGTTTAAAATAAATTATTTTTTTAACTGAGAAAAAAATAACACACAAGAAAATGAGTTCAAAATAAGTATTGAATAGCAGGTTTATAAACTAAAGCACAATTGTTTTACAATACAGGTAATGAATTTTGCTTTTATTTCAGAATCTTCAACCACCCTAATATTCTCCCAGTGCTGGGCGCATGCAATGATCCTCAAAACCTGATTGTAATCAGCCAGTTTATGCCCTTTGGTTCTCTCTATAATGTACTTCATGAAGAAACTGGTATGGATGCCATTCTGGTGCTTTGTAGAACTTATAGAAGTGAAAAGACATTTGTAACCTCGGTTTTATGGAAGAAATGGCTTTCATTACACATTCTAGTGTTTATATTTAGACCGTGTTTGCAGTTTGGAAACTGTTGCACTGGTATTTTAAATATGTAACAATATTGCTATCAATCATTTACAATTTACTGTCAATACAAAATTACTGTGTTTGCACTTGTACTTTAGTATTACTGATTTATAACATCAAGTCTAGTCTATCAAAGCCATAAATATTATGAAATGTTTGTCAGTTATTTTTGCAGAGCTGATAAGGTGAACAATAACTAATGTAGGTTATTTACTTTACAGTGTTGTTTTGTGGTTTATGGTGCACATTTTATCATCCCATCTTGTTGTGTTTTAGGGTTGGTCATAGACCAGAATCAGGCCTTGAGATTTTCTCTGGACGTTGCCCGTGGCATGGAATTCCTTCACACATTAGAACCCATGGTCCCAAACTTCTACTTAACTAGTCGTCATGTGCTGGTATGTAGATCTTTAGATGATTGGGTTTCACATTAAAAGGAATAGCCTGCCCATTGTTAAGATTCTGATCGATTGTTTTTGCATTGGCGCTGGTTTTAATTAAGATGGGAGTACATATTTTATAGCCCAGTGTGAATTTCTCAGACTATTCATCATTGTTAACCTGGTGATTCTTATACCTGAGAGAGGTGGACTATAAATTTAAGAAAGGGGAAGAAGGGGATTTTCTAGCTGCCCAACTCCTGGAGAATTATTTTGGAAGAAAAGTAGTTTGGGGAAAATTAGAAGTATGAAACATGATTTTGAGGACCAGAAAGAAAGTTTTTGTTAGAGAGAAGAGGACAAGGTTTGTTGGTTTGTTTTTCAAAAAGTGGAACATGAGGAGGGGGTAGAGGGGTTAATTTTTTGGAGATATGAAACTTTTTCAAAATGCCTGAGCTTTTATGAGAGATTAAATATCTTTAGATAATTACCATATTTGTATATTAAAATGGAAATCCCCCCTTTCTTTTGTCCTTGCAGCAAAAGTATATAATTTCAAAATTGTGTACTTGGAAGTCGGTGAAGTGGAGAATACAGATTTAAAACAATGTGAAATTCCATCTTTAACACCTTTCTCTCTCATGACATAATACTTCTATCTGTCACTAGTATTAAATGCCTAGCATTGTAATAGTTTTGTACACTGAAAAAAAAATACAAGTAAATCTGACAAATAAGCCAACTTCCTCTTATCTATTCTTCTTTCTAAGACTTTGTGTAACTTTCAAAACTTTTCATTATTAACTTTAACTTTCAGCTTCTGTCTGTTATCTGTCTGTTACTCTTTGCTGTGTCCTTTATTTTTCTGTGCACAGATTGATGAAGATCTTGCCAAAATAAATATTGATGATCCCAAATATATGCGAGAGGGTGCCGTGAATGGGGTAAAGTCAATATCAGAACATATTGCCTGGTTTGCTGTGAGATAGAATTTTATTCATACTAACCTTTTCCCTCTTATGATGAAGGAAAAACATCACTTAGGAATTTAGGCTTTGATAGACTGTATCAGGCATTGCTATTGTTTGATTGAAAGATAAAAGGTGTTAAAGTTTGTCTATCAGTATATTTGTTCTTTTATTTATTTATTTATTTATTTATTTATTTATTTATTTATTTATTTATTTGCAAATATAGATTTACACAAATTTGGACATCCAGCAGAGCTTTTGTTTGATCAATCAAAGTCACTAGAAGCTTTGATATTGTAACAGTTATTGATCATACATGGTATTATAAAGTAACCAGTTCAAAGCACACTTATCTCAATCAAACATTAAGTTCAAAGTGATAAGAAATATTGAATTTGGTTTGCTTATTTTGTCCCTTGAGATTCTTCTGTTGTTTATACAAATTGATAGCAGCAAGCTGAGAGAGAATGCTCTAGTTTGACTGCTTTTTGTAGCTGCCTTTTCAAGGAATTCATTGCTTTTGTCAGTTTTCCCAGCATTTCCCCCTAAATTATCACTGGTTGGATTAGATAGGTCCTCCATTTTGTTTGCAGCCAGATCTGCATAGTGTTACCTAGCAACAGATGTCATTGCTTGGAGACCAACAGCTTTGTCACATTGTTTCTTTTTCAGCAAATGCAAGAGGCACATAGCTCACTTCTGTTATATATTATTTTGTTTTTAATGATAAACCCTTTTGGCATGTATTTTTAGATTTTTTAATGATATATAGGGAACAGTCCCTATCCCAACTGATTATCTCCCAGAGATTGCATATATTCACAGTTCTGCATTACATCTTAATTTATAAATTGAGATGCAGCCTGAGAATGTTGGAAAACTGTGACTAATTCATTAAAAACCCCTGTGCAGATTATATTTATTGTGAATGAACCATAAATACTTTTCTTTGGACGATTTTCTGCCTTGGTAGTCGCTGGACTTCTGGTTTTGCTGCACCAGATATGTTTAGACAAAATGGCATTTTTTGTGTTTTCTTAATCAGCTTCATAGCAAAATTTAGGCACACTTTTGAAATAAGATGTAATTGGCAAATTTGGATAATTTCAGAACAATTGCGAAAATGTTAGAGTCTAAATAGTTTTTTAGAAAGTATTTGTTTTGTTCAGTTGAACTTTTGTACTGGTGTCTTGTCTGATATTGTACACTGACTGACAGTAATTCAGAAATGCATGGAAAAAAACTAACTTCACTCAGTCACATTTGAGCATGCAAAATTTTACTTTATTTTGGATTCTTATACAAAATAACTTCCGAGCTGTGATTTAAGGGAAAATTGCCTTGAAAGAATTGTTTTATAAATCCTTCGAAGTAATTTGTGGAAGTTATTTGATTGTCTGGATCACTTCACAATTAATGTGAGGGTGGGTGAGAGCAGTATGATCCACTTTTCTTTTTAACTGGACTTTCAGTGAAACTCAGTCATTTTTAATTTGATAGAATCCCTGCAATTAAATACACACTAAGATTTGTATTTTTCTGTTTTGATGTTTTCAGATTGATGAAGATCTGACTGCCAGAATCAACATGGCAGACTACAAGTTTTCCTTCCATGAGCGTGGAAAGCTATATGCACCTGCTTGGCTGGCCCCGGAAGGTATCACTATAAACTTTATCTTGTTAAAAACTCTTTAACGAGGAAAAAACATTCCTGTGGTATCATGGTTTCCCCCAGCTGTGTTTAAACTTCTTGTAACTCCATCCCTTTTTCAGTGTGTGGAAACAATTGTTTCAGATAGGTTCCTCTGTTTTTACTCCTGCGTGATCTATTTCCTTTAAGTTGGATAAACTTTAGAATTAACTTTGAAGTAAAGAAATAAGACATGCCCTTACATGGTATATCGCTGTAAGATAATATGTTGTTACAAAGGCAGTATTGGTTTCACGTTGGCTGGGGCCTTGATCAAGATCAGTACTCTCAGGCCTTAAGCCAGCAATTTAAGAGGGGTGGGTCTTCTGAAAAATGGACTTTTTTAGCCCCTGATTTGACCCAACTTGAGAAATGACATAGGTCAAATTTGTATATATAGCAGATCTTTTCCCTCAAAAGGGTGGTTATTCCGACCCCCCCACCACCACCACCATAGCCCCTGTGCCTACAGGCCCAACACTGTAAAATTTATAAATATATACATACAGATTTTTTTTTCATTCTCCAGCATTGCAGAGAAAGCCCAGTGAGATCAATGTGAGGGCAGCAGACATGTGGAGCTTTGCCATACTATTGTGGGAACTAGCCACCAGAGAGGTACCATTTGCTGATATGTCCCCCATGGAGATAGGGATGAAGGTGGGTGATATTACTCTGGTTTATCTACCTTTTTACTGACAACCTTTTGTAAATATATAGGATGCCCTTAAGCATGTATAGTGCATAGTAAGTAGAACTGACTTTTGCCTAGAGAAAATGACTCCTTGTCATCTTTTTGGTAAAATCTTATGTGTAATTCATATGTTTGCTTGCACATGTTTTATGTCAAAAATTCTTTCACTTCCACATTTTCCCCTGTGCAGTGCAGTGGTTTCTTTTTGGTATTCTTTGATTTAGAGACAAAAGTCTGCAGGGTATGTGGGTATTTTTTTTTTTTTTTTTTTTTTTTTTTTCATGTTCAGGGGCTGTATTCTCCAAAGTTTGAGACTTAAAAACCTTCAAGAATACCAACTTACATGAACAATTAGAGTTACGTGAAAAGTTGCTAGAATTTGTACGTTAGAACCTTTCGAGAATATGGCCCAAGATCTAATTTAATCTCTGTATATTTCATTAAACTCTGATCTGTATACAATCTTTCAGGTAGCCCTGGAGGGACTTCGCGTCCAGATTCCCCTGGGGACGTCCCAGCACACCACGCGCCTGGTGAAGATCTGTATGAATGAGGAACCGGGGAAAAGACCACGCTTTGACATGGTGATCCCCATTCTAGAGAAAATGAAGTTATCCAGCTGATTCTCTTTTCTATCTTTTTATTTTTAATAACTTTTGAGTCATGTCTGCCTTTTGCTATGAAAATAGAGATAGAGATATGATTTTGGCACCAAAAAGAAGCATAGCAGAAAGGCAGTTCCTTTTCTTTTTACTTAGGTCTGTATTAAATTGTAAAATTCAACTAGATTTGGTATCCATGAATAGGTTTTTAAAATATATTCAGAGATGCCATCCTTAACAAAGGATTCAGTTTGATATATAGAATATTAACCTTCAAATTACTTTATGGACTTATATTTAGTCAACAATAATACAGTTTCTGTTGTTCGGTTGGTTCTGAAGAAAACCAGTTGAAGTTTTTCTCCCAACAAAAAAGTGCTACCTCATTATTTTCCATTTATACTTTGAATTATCCTAAGGAAAAGGTATTTATTTCAATACATGACTATATGGGGTAGAATTATTGAACAAATCACAACTTAAAAGAGACTGTGCTAAAACTTTTGACTGTTAATTAAGCCATTGACTGTGTTTATATTATTGAATAGAATCACAACCTAAGATTTATACATATATTTATATACGTACAACATTTAGTACAAGTTACCCCAGTGTTTAAGGTCTTTGCTGCTGTGTATAGTTTTATCAAAAGTTGACCAGCATAGGGAACAAAGGGTAATTGTTACTCTTCAATTAGACAGTATTGGATTTCATTATCAATATATTAAACATAGAAATCAGTTTGGAGGTGCTCACCACATCAATTGTATATGCCTTGTCACATTTTAAAATAAAAAAAATGCAAAAAGAAGAATTGTTTCATATGGTGCTATTCCTCCCCCAGTTTTCAAATAAAAGCATGCTTTGTGGCAATACGATATTTGGAGTGGACTGATTGTGAGCTTTGTCACAACTAACACAATACACACAACATGCAACCTGTGAGTGTAGCAATGCTGAACACAGATGAAACGTTGGATAGAGATAATCTTGGGAAATGTAGTAGTGATTTCAACATGTTGAAAGATTTAACTGACTAGTCCCTCATCAAGATTTGTTAACATACAAATCCCAACCATTCTTTTTGTAACAATGTAGATTTTAGTCACTTTTAATGTTAGTTGGTATATTTAAAGTAATTAGAACCATAACATTAATAAGGGGAGGGGTGTTAACAAAACACCGATTCTACTTCATAGGAAGTAGATTGTCCACAGCTGAGTGAAAGTTGTGAAAGTGTATCGCTTAAAGTGACTTTTTCTTTTACTTTGCAAATGAATCTATAAGCTTTACCTATAGCATATGTAATGTTTAGGGGTTAAATACATGTTTATAGAGATACCTTTTGTATTTTGATATTTTGCTTTCAAAATTTTCACAGTTCATATGTGTGCACAGAATCGTTAAAGAAATATCTTTGAATATCTTCGAAATTTTCATGACCCTGGTAGAGGGAATATGCCCAACAATTGCTGTCCTTGTTTACACCTCCGCCCATATTATATTTAGTCAGTATTATTGCAGGTTTGCCCGACAAATTTATTTTAAGACGTCATTTTGTTACAAACTCAAATAGAAATCCTGTCGTAGCGCATAGTATTCTGAAAATTACTAGGTGATAATTATCGTGTATGCAACTTTCTGTATTGACATCATGGATATCAGAGAAGAACTTAGAAGGGTCCTCCCGATCCGGATGTGTAAACATATTGCCATTGAGGCACAATGAGCAGATACAGTAGTGTACAGTGACTCCGTACTTATAGCGTACAATTTTATACAGTAGAAAACCAGCTGCATGCAGAGCTATCGCTTAATATGAATTTAATCCTTTTTACCTGAAGTTTGACAAAAAATAAATAAATAAATAGCTTGTTACGACGTCTTTTCATTTGATATACGTTATGATGCAGGTATAACAGGCCAAGACAAATGTAACTTTCTTTATTAAATGTCAACCGTGCAATGTTACGAGAACACAAACTTTGGCATGCGAGACAATCTTGATAATAGGGCACTCGGTCTACATGAAACAGACATCTGACATCTTTGATGGAGAACGTATTTAATACGTATACGCACACGATAGGTAAAGTAACTGATATTTAAAAAAATTCCTTACGTTTTTTAAATCATTTTTATAAATATTTTCAGTTTCATTTTCGATAATTTTGGCACTGTTTGTGTTAAATCAATTTCATCTAAACTTGAATACGGATACTTTCCTTCGAACATCCGTTCACGTGCACGTGTTCAGCGTTCCTTGTTGGGCTGTTTCCAACGTCCTGCCGGTAAACATGAGTTTATCACTTCCTTGATTTTCATTTTCTTATTAGAAATTTTCTAAAAAAAAGGGGTGCGCTTTAAAAACTTCCTTGTTGGTCAAGCAGAGAAGTATAACTCTACGTCAAGTTCTTGATTTAATGCAACTCGAACACAATACCAGCGAGCCTCAGGAATTCAAGACCCGTTAGACGGTTTCATTATTGTCGCATTTCTGATTAGCTTATCACAAAAATGCCAATTTCCGTGACTGAAAGTAAATTCCCATCGCAATATAGCTAAAGACAAGTATCCTACATTACAATTATACAGTTTTGAGAGCTCATTTAAGGGCAACAGACAATATTGCCTTTTAAGTTCCTTAATGAACAAACATCAAAATCTCAGCTAGCTTCCAAAATGATACAATTAAATATACTAGCACTTGGTTTCTATGAGTCCGTTGGCTTACCACCCGAAAATCTGTCTCACGCTATCGACATCTACCTGTCTAAATGACACAATATGTCTTTGACAATCGCGATCTTGCTCTACCTGGGAAAGTTAACGCCATTCGAACACAGTTGGCCCTGTGAAGGGATTGCGCTAAGCCGACTGTCCTTCGATCTCGCTCCGCAACACCAGTCGGTGTGTATTTTGTGTCTGAAGCAAAATTACGATTGACAAAATTATTTTTCGCAATCTGAGTTTTATATCTGTTCATCCTGACCAATAATATCGTATTTTTTATTAAAACCCGTGTTACGCAAAGATGTTAAAAATGGGTTATGCTTTTAAAACCACCGTCACTTTAAATAAAAAATCTGTATTTTGTCAGATATGTTGAATTAATCACATCTTAATGAATCTCATAACTACCCCCTTCTTCTTTATCCCCAATTTCATGGACATTTTGTGAAATTATAAATTTTACATTTCTTTTCATTTGATAATGGGTTTGGTGTGTTGCAATCCACCAGCAGATATGTGGGGTGTTGTTCATTTCATAACAGTTAGACATATCAATACCCACAATATATTACAAAACACAGGTGAGTTGGTCAGTTCATACAAAGGGTCATCTTGTCTTACTACAGCAGTGACAGTCACTCCCGGCCATTCAATCTCAGTGATCGCGCCATTAAGCACTCCATCAAAAGACGCGACGGACCTCAGGTCGGAAATGATGAGTAAAGCCCTCATAACGCAGGGAAGTAGCCGCGGCCACTCCTGTCTCGCAGAAATGATGAATGAACAAAACTTTTGTGAAAAATTACCGGGTCACATCTGTCATTAATATGAATCAGCTGCTGACCGGCCTTAAACTATTGTGGAGCTATATTTAACTGCGGCCCACTGTACCGGCGCGATCAGCTGTTGCGGAGTATAAAACCGGAGCACGTTTAACTTCGCCGTGCATTACCGCGGCTTCTACGACAGGTTTTACACTGCATGATTCTGGTCGATTTAACTCCTCTAGCTGTTACAGGAGAAACAAAAACTAAAACTGAGGTAAGTCTGTTTGTAAAGAAGGTTTTATCCAAAATGTATAAATCTAATGAAAATTTCTAGAGCTTGTGAAAAAAAAAAAAAAAAAAAAGACTTTCGATTCGAAAAATCTGCCAGAAATGGAAAGCCATTGCCAGCTGCAATTCGATTTGAATTGAATATTAAGAGAGACATTTCTGAACACTGACATTCTAAGCTAAAAGACTGCCTTAAGAAGAAAATAAAAAAGGAGAGAGCGCATCAATAATCTGTGCTGTCAAGGGTATTTGTAGAGTGTGCTAAAATCTCTATGAAAACCAACACCGACAAGAAACAGCTAATGTGTAGACGTCGTCCTGATTAACATTATGTGTTTTGTCCTATTTGACTGAGTGCGTGGGGAAATTACAAGCCTTATTATTATAATTGTTACCGGATTATTAATTGTCGTAATTAACTGCGAGTTACCAATGCATTATTAAACGGAAATATCGAACGTGCTTGGGTATATTACAACTATTGGTAATGATATACCCTCGTTCAAACTTAAGCAAGTGCCCATTCTAGTATTTTTAATTCTGTATATTTCAAAAAATTGGATATTATATGAAAAAATATATCGGTATTGCTACACCGGTGAATAGGACCTAATCTATCCTCATACAAACTTGAAGAAACTTTCATTTTAAATTTCTAAGTCTGACGAATCGGGTGTGATATTGATGACTTGTAAATAGGCATTTCTCACAGATTTTGTAAATCTGCTTCTTTTCTTTTTCTTGCAGAAAGATGAACAAGCAAACAAGTGCATTTATCGTCCTCGCCATTGTTTTCTGCCTACTGGTCTTCTCTTCCGCTGGCCCGGTGAGAAGAAACGTGGAGAGCAACCTGGAGAATGTTGTCGTACGTGCAGTCGAAAAAGGTGTGATAAAAATAAAAGTTCAAAATGAAAACAAACAAACATGAACCTATGTTCTCAAGCTGACTGCTAAACCGCTCACGGTGTCAAACTCGTTCCATGAAACAATCTCAACCTGCGGCGTACTCAAACATTATACAGAAATTGATCGTGGACTGAATGACGTTTCTGTTTTTTCCTGTAGTATTTTTTATATTTTAAAGCTATTATCTCATCGTGCTCTTTATTATCGTTTTTCTTACTTAAAATAAATTCTGTTGTTTCTTTTGCAGCCAACGAGTCCGCCTTGGGTTCGCACTCCAACAAGGTGAAAAGATTTAGTCCAGCGCACGCTTTTCTTACCAGAGTTATCATCAGCCGACCCTGTCGCCGAAAACCCTGTCCTACGAAGGAAAGAAGCAAACCTTCTTACTCTTCAGATATGTAAAGATATTTTGATGTCGAAGGTGTGATTGTGTGCAATGTCATTCTCTTCGATAATAGCAGAGATTGCCAATGATGGCATCCACGTCAAATAAGGTTTTTGCCCGGTTTGTGTTCTGCAAAAAAAAAAAAAAAAAAAAAAAAAAAAAGAACACAAGCCGCACAAATCTTAAATCTACTTGCACAGATCTCATTTAAGGAATTTCCTGGACACGTTATGACAGGAAGGATAAAGCATTTTTAGATATGGTGTGGAGAAATCCAGAATACTGACGGTTAAATGTCTCTCATATTTTTATGAATCTATTTTGGAATATATCTAAGAAGCGCAGAGGTTGTATAAAAACTTCATAGTCATTATTTATGCTGACTGTACATTCCATTTTACTGAAGTTTTTGACGTATGATCTTTTAAATTAATTTAAATAATAAATATAATATAATTATTTATGTGTCTGTTTTAACAGACTTATTGTAAATTATGTGATATGGTCATGGCTGTTCAAATAACGTGACTGAATTATTTTCGTATCTTGCAAAATAAAATTTTCCCCATGATAATGTAAGGGTTATTTGTTATCGATATTCACAATATACTGTACATTTGATAATACCAAACGTAATTTCACTTCGCTGAATACATTTCCACGATGAGTTGTACGTAATTTGTCGTATTTAACAGTCAATTATAAAGTCGGCAATTCCGGAAATTACTTTAAGGACACACGTCCTCATGGCTGGCGGAACTCTACGGTATCAAGGCCTCTTTCCGCAGAGCTCTTCTGGTGCAACTCAATATCCTATTTTTCTGAAATTTGAGCCAAATCTAATTTTTCTGGATGAAGAGCAATTTACTCCTACTATTAGGGAATCTTTATTAGGCCCATCCCTGCACTGGGATATCATTTCTAATGACATGTAAGTGGTTTAGCTCTAGGTGTCTGATCGCCAAAGTCTTCCTGAAGGAAATATCGACATTTTTTACCCTATCTGGTGTTTTTTCTGCTTAGACAAACGAGAAATGTATACTTTTAAAACGAACTTGAAACGTCATCGGCGAACACCTGGCGTTTTAATTATCGGGGCTTAATGGCATACCTGGTGCACTGTTATAATACACTTATGTTCTGCTCAGGCAGCGGATGCACACGAAGGGGGAGGTGTGGTAAGGCTTGGCTGTCACCTCGATCGGTTGATAAATCAAAGGACACATTCAGAACCCGTTGACCCGCGAAATAACTAGTCTCGGTGCGCATGCTTCTTTGTGCGTTGAAATGGCTTTCTCGGACGCATTTTAAAATGCGACTGCTGAGACACTCGAGGAAACATTCCGTCGCATTATAATGTGGAGAGCTGGCACAGCAGAGGAAGTGCAAACAAATGTGCGTGCAAAGGATCATCTCTGTAGCAATCTTGTGCAACAGGGGCCTTAATCATATGGTATAGCCTCAAGTGGACCATCATTTAGAATATGAGACTGCACCAAGTGACACGTACAAGGATGTCTTCACTTGTTTTATATTTTATTATTCCGTTTTGGTGTCTGCCCTCTTTACTTTACCATGCAAATGCCTTTCGTGAAAGTTATTTTTCTGGAGAACGTTTTCGGATATTTTTCATACATATTCTGTGTGTTAAACAGTATCACATGGTCATATGCAGCGCACAGCTTTAATACTTTACAATATAAAAATGCATCTTGTACCTACCAAACACGACAAAACACCAAACAGTAAAGAAAAAATAGAAAGAAGGAGAGAAAGAAAGACAAAACGCTGCCATAGGCCTATTGCATAATTTTAGAGCCGTTCTTTCTTTCTTTTTTATGTCTTTTGAAGCGGATTGTTTAGACTTTTTGTACTAAATCTGCCAAAATGTGAAGTTCGTGCTTTATAGTAATGGACTGTTAATGTATAGTTATCATGATATCGTTACTGAGGAAAAGGGCAGGGTCGTGTTATCAAAGTGCCCTCATAACTTTTTACATGCAAACTTCACATCTTTTTTCTTATTAACTTGCATTCCAGCGATGGACTTGTCCGAACGCACCAGCAGCGTCGGCTCCGTGGCGCAATTGGATAGCGCGTCGGACTTCTAGATGGATAGATGCAAGTTATTCGGAGGCTGTGGGTTCGAGTCCCACCGGAGTCGAATGTTTTTGAGATTATTTTAAATTATATATATTATATATATTCACAAACACTCATCCACCCTTGTAGTCCATAAGGAGTACCACGATATCGTCTCAAACCATTTCCATTTTCGTGAGTGTGATTTCTTTTAAGAGATTTTGCTAATCTAATAGAGTTTGAAGGGACTGGCTAGGTTGCTTGGCAGTACCATAGAAGTAAAATCAGAAGCAATCTTTACCAGAAAATTACCTGGCACCAGACTGTGGTACTAATTGCTGTGAATTAATAGGCGATCAAATGGTGTTTTAACTATTAAAATAGTCGTTCAGGTGGAGGGGGTTCTGTATAAAATCTGTAATGAGTCTTTCTACCCCAAAACGCTGAGCTGTTACGCCATCAGCTCGCGTAAGCAAATTGACCCCGATGTATTTTTTGATGCGTCAGAATTATGGCATAACATGATAATGTTTATTCCTGCACTATATAAGCGGATATGGACAATTTTTCTAATGCATCGATCCCCTAAAATAACTTAATCGTGAGTCAAAACGCATTGAAATTATTGTCATAAAATTAGCATCACCTTTATAGTGTAGTTGGGCCAAGACTTTTGAAATGTGAATGTTTTAACTCTAAAGTGTTTACTTACTGAGAGCAAAGTTGAACTTTTTGTATTCCAGTGTTTTCTGAAAACGTGCCAGATTACGCGCGCCTACATGTCGCGTCAACACGGATGTATTTTAATTGTGTAAATTGTACACAGTCTAAGACTGGGTTCCCATACCTAGATCGATCAAATAGGATCGATCCATCCGAGGGGTTTCTCGCTAAATTGTTTTCAGCTTAAGCGGCTTAGATGTCTGGCACGCCTACTGAAGCTGGTAAAAGATAATTAATTACCCCTTAGCAGCTTCAGTAGGCGTGACAGACACCTAAGCCGCTTAAGTTGATCGCAATTTAGTGAGAATCCCCTTGGAGATGGATCGATCCACAGTTAGTACTATAGGGTCTGGGAATGGTCCCTAAAAAGGAAATAGGATGGTATCAAATTACAGAAATGAAGGCCTGCCGAGTGCTTTTTGGGTCATAAACAATTTTATCATCCGTTGGCTTTCACATAATAACCCACCACATATGTAAACACAATTTAACTGGCAATCAAAATTGCAAAGAATATGCTACGAGATGTATTATTTATTTTTTTCCACGGCTGACACTGATGACCAATGACAAAAAAGTTCCAAAGCTGTCATACAGTCACCCCAAGATTCTACGCTTTCCATTTCTCATTGTGATCATAATTTTCAGGAAAAGGCAAAAAATGCACTGCATTTACTTTTACTTTAAAATTGTTAAAGCAGAATTTCAACATGACAGCGATCTCGAACTTTTTGCCGGCAATCGGCCATGTAATCGAGTTAACCGAATTAAGCTATGGTGATATACAAAACTGACAACGAGTAGCCATGTACTAGAACACGTAGGAATTGACATCATCATCTTTAAAGAATGCAAGCATTGTTCTATAGATATGCAATGAATGACAATGCGTCATCACACTCCCCCCTCCCCCCCCTCCCCCACTTTCCATACTAATAGCAGAACACTGCCGTGTGCACTAAGACCAAGGAAAATACCAACTGAAAAAATTGGGGGGACGGGGAAAACGGCGCAGTTACAAAACGAAAAAAAAACGGAAACGAAAGGGAACGGTATGTTTTTAATAAGAAAATTATTAGTTGCCCATCGAACATTCTCCGCACAAATGAGCTATACAAAGCGTGCATTCGTAACTCACTGGTTGTTTCATGAATGCATTCATGAATGGTGAGTAACATTACAAAGTACAAAGAAAACACCGCGGTGCCTGCTCACGTAACGAAACCAGGCTATCTCGGGTGTCCGACGACCCGAACTTGTTTACCGTTAGTTACTGCACGCGGGTATTTTTGTCTCCTCAACCTGTTTACCACAGCATACATATACGGTCTGTAAATAAGGCACACGGTCATTTGATTCCACATGCCACGTACGGACTTGCAATCTAAGGAACAGTGAACATATATGCGCTGAAGTATATGAGCACTTGAGAAATTTGGAGATTTTAAGAAAATTCATTTACTGCACAGAATTACCGGTCGTTACCCTTCGTCGCACGGTCTCTGGACGTCAAAGCAAGGCTAACCTAGGTCAAACATGTGTTCGCAAAGAAAACGAGGTAAATTGTGTGCCTGAGTATGCATGAGCCTGTGTGTTTGTGTGTGTGTGTGTGTGCATACGTACAAAGTGATTAAATATAAAGCACCCTGAGTCTAGGATTTTTCATGGTAACTTAGCATACCCTCTCCGTTGTCGTTCAGCTTGGAAATGACATTAATTGATGTATTTTCACTATACAGTATACTTCAGGTGAGTTTCAAATAAAATCAAGGCAGCAAGTTTTGCCTGGCATTTTTAGCTAATTTAGGTGCAAATTGTTGGATATAGCGCTGCTTTTTTATGGAATTTTTAAAAAAATGTCGTTCTTGCGACTAAACAGCTATTTCGCAAACGAAAGTTTTTATACTTAGGTGCATGGAATCTTCCTGGAGTGAGTAGTACCTTTATACCTTTATAACTTCTTAAAACCTCTGTTACACAGGGCCTGGGATCTCTTTAGGAAAGATTTTTTGCTCGAACCTTCAAAGTTGGGAATTGACAAAATTTGAAAGGCAGCGTCAACTTCATACGTCAGTGTTAAGGAACTTTAAAAATTGCAGTCTTTTCTTCTATTACATATTTAAATTTGTGAGCGAGGACCAAGCCCGATGGAACAGGGGCTTAGCTTTGCCATGCTTATAGATTCTCGTGCCCAGTCCAAGTGTTAATCAAAGGTGTATGGGGTGACGGTGTCGTATACCTCTTGGGTGTTAATGTCACCAGTGCAGTTGCATTGCGGTCTCAACACATGACGAGTCTGTTAGTTTTATACGCGTGTAATTTAAGCATCATTTCACTATTTCCTCAGCACAGATTAACGACACTGATACGTCCGAGCCGTGTGCAGTCTAATCTATAAGTTGAAACCATTAGAATTATAATCAAAATTTGAGTCACATAACTATTTTAAAAGTCTTGACTTTCTTTCTTTTTATCCATCCTCTATCCTATAAGCTGTTTGAATAAGATATTGCGTAGCCATCCTGTCTTCAGGGATCAAAAATGAAAACGTTTCCGAAACGTTGGAAAAAACAAGCACGAAAATGACGACCAGGGGAATTGCAAACGATTTAATCTATATGGGTTCTGTTTACTTGTTGTCTATTACCTTGCTTACGTTTTCTTTTCACTAGAATTGAGTGACCGTAATATGACTAATTTATGACCAGTGAAAGATATTCATCAAAAATAACTTGCATTACAAAACATTAACCGTGGGACCGAAACTAGATCGGTAACATTATTGTAGGCTGTTTATAACGGATATGAATAATGATAATGAATATTATTAAAATGGTAACGTAGTGAGTCACAGCCTGTTTTAGATCTCTGAATCTTCATTCATGAAGGAGGAGGGGGAGGGGGTGGGGCGGGGGGAGAAAGGTGGATCAACAGTGCCGTCCCCCGTCAAACCAGGTCTCGCTTTTTTGCCTGGCGTTACAGTGCCGTTTTCCTCTAAATGCGCAGTTTTCAGTTTATCAGGGTTATCAACATCAACATAGAAGATCTCAAGCTACATAAATACATTTTTATGGTATTATTAACGATAGAAAACATCTGAAAGAAAAAGAATAAGTAAAAAAGGCAGAGCATACTGGTATGCTTAGAGTTTGCATTTTACAACCAATTGATAGAATTTTTATACATTGCAAAAAGGTTTAACTTTAGGAGTACTATGTAATCCTGTATGAACGAGTTAGCAGTATACACAATCCGTTGTATGACGACATACTTGGTACTTGTTGCATCTAGAATTTACATAATATCTGAGGTAGGGATTAGATGACGTGCAGTCTTGTTGTAACTTGTTTACGAGTTCACGGATTGTAGCTTTAGCATCAGTTATGAAAATAAAAACGGCCACCCGCATTACTGCAAGGGGTACGTACTATTCAGATAAGCTTTAGGCATAAAACGCTTGTAGCAATCAAGTCAGGTCCTATGGCAAAAAAAAAAAAAAAAAAAAAATACTACAATATCCTTGCTCGGACCTCAAATTGATGTCTGCCACCGTGAAGGACATCCATTGTAAAATATCCCCGTCAACAAGGCAATGACTCCGATGACCGCTGCGACCGCCATATCCTTGGAGAGGTTCTAATTTCTGATGACACATATTTGTCATCCAGGTCATCGGTACTCTGTTAAGTTAAGTAAAGACGATACCTACCAGATAAAGATTTTACATATTATTGAAGGAAGCTAAATTTAGAAAGAGGGTTTGGTGAGAACTCACGGACCCTGCACCACTGGCCTAAAGATCACTTACATCGGGGGAAGAAACTTGGAAAAAATCCAATATATTATTAACGACGTAGTTACTCCGACATCGCCCATGTTAAAGGAAAAGGGGGGGGGGGGTAAGGGTTTGAAGTTCATGAATGAGGATAACTGTATAATATCTCCCAGTGTGCTGCCAGCTATAAGTGTACGCGACTGTACGCAAGTTACGATTTGCGTATCCAGGTACGCCTGTACACACTTCCATTAGGAACGTTCTACGTATCCAGGTACCTGTACGCACTCATGTCAGTGAAGTTCTGGTATGAATGTAACCACTTGTATCATTGGCGTATAACGAATAAAAGAGCAATTGCACATGTCAGCCGTTAAAGACTTTATTTACAAAATACAGTGTATATGAATAGGCAAAATACCTATTGCAATTGTTTCAATATAAGATATTTAAGATTTTAATTTTGGGGGATATAAATTCTAAAAATTGACAGTGAAAATTAAAAATGAGGCGAAATAATTGACCGGACTGTGCCTGAGATCCCACCCTTAATTATTTTTGGTATCGACCCACAGAGTTTTGTAATACAGTAGCTCAAGGTTGCTCTCTCCCTGACAATTCAACAACACCTGATAGCGCGTTTCTTTGGTCCTCCGTATCTCGCAGGGTGATGCTATAGGATGTATCTTAATATAGCACAAAATGGTCTGATCTCCTGTCCTTGAACCAATACGGACGATCTCCCCCTCCCCCTCTTACCCCTCTCTCTCTCTCTCTCTCTCTCTTTCTTTCTCTCTCCGACTTCTTAAACTGTATCCTATGGATTAGTCATTGTTCTGATTTGAACGCGTGATTGACATGAATTTAGTTCTGTATTTCTCTCCTTGAGGTATAGATGCGCGTTGAATTAGCTGCTTTGAATTTCGAACACGTCTCGTACTAATTTCTACTTTCTAAGCACCATTATATTCTTTTTGAAGAGCCCTATCATATGAAGATAAAGCAAGTCTCATATGAACTGATACTTTTCTTCAATTTTTTTCTTCAAGCTACAAAACAAAGTCGCACAGGTAAAATCTGAAGATAATTTCCCAACGCATGATACAATTAAGCAGGCCTATGTCACAGATATATATCACGTTTCGTTTAAACGTGTATCCGACCTAAGAGGGTCGTCTTGATAGATCAGTCAAACGTGCAGGGGAGAACATTGGCCTGTTTACAGAGATTCTGACCCTATCTAGGACATTAGATGATCTTTGTCAGGTCCTCAAACTGCAGCGGTGCCAAAACACCGCTGACTTGAATAGCTCATTTAAGATTGCATTTACCTCGGCACTGTCAAGGTCACAGCGACCTGCACGCACCGGTAGCCTACATGTATGTGAGTATTCCTTACATGTGCTCGCAGGATCCTTAAGTCTGGTGATTTTTTCAGTGCACGCTGCATTGCTATTTTTTTCAGTTTTAACTTGATAGTGCTGGTTTGTTTAGCTAAACACTTAAATACGCAACTCGCTTTTAAAAATATTTTTTACAAAAACAAAAGCTATCGTTTTTCAAGCTTTTTGAGAGAATGTTGTTTATTGTAAATACTGGTAACTAAAATGTAAGAACACCATCTTGTGATGAAAAAAGTATACGTAAGAGTAAGAAGTCAAGCTTGCTCTGTGTGTGGCATGTGCTCCGATGAAAAGAAATCCAAGCAAGAATCTTTCCTCTAGACCACCCTGTGCGTGTGCAGGTCGTATGCATTAATACATTGTACGTTTAATTCACTTTTAAGACCTACATAAGTTTACAGACATATGGTTTTTCTCATATATATCACCTGCATTCCTCGTTTTCTCAAAGCTCTTGAAAATTCTTTGCAAGTAAACATATGGGCCAATATTCACTACCAATATATATAAAATACTAGTAGTTCTAGGTTCGTCACAGGTCCTGATGACGACACAGAAAAACAGCTGATCAAGAGTTCCGTTCCGAACCTTAGCATACAATCAGCCATCCAAATAAGCAGATTAGTCACATTATAATAGTGATAACAGCAAGAAAATGCCGTCGTGTTCACTGCAGGCAAGTGCTATATTTAGTTAAGGTAGGGTCTTGATACGAACTATGAAGTATACTGAATTTTACGTTAGACTGATTAAAGAGAACGATGATTGGTTAAGTCGGCCCACGCCCCCAGGGCAAATTAGCAGCTCACGTGACGAATTTAACCATATTTGGGGATACTCAGTGGCGTGATAAATCGCTATTTTGTCAGTTTCAGGTGCGCTATATCCAAACCCTCTCTATTTTGTGGTTGGGCCTATTATTATAATGACAATAACTTTTGTCCATGCTCCGTTATAAGCCGCAACTTTCAAATCCCCGTCCCTTCCCTCCAGCAGCGCTAGCCCGGCTGACACTGGTCTCCTAACCGTCCCCAGCCTCTCCATCCAGCACGAGAAGCCGGTTAAACTAAAGGTAGGCCTGTCATAACGTGAATGTAATCTATTAAAACAATACTACACGAATCTATGGGCTTTTGGTATTTTTAGTGCCAAGGAAGAACTGCATTATGTATATTACTATTACGTTAGGGGACCGGTCTCAAGCCGGTATAGCTTTAATGGACAACCCAGCGTCCGCACGTGCGCTTTGTTAAGACAGAAATTTCAAGAACTCTACAACGTGTGGCTGGAGTACGATAACTTCCTCGAACCTCCGGGTTTGGATTTGTTCAATCTTGTGAAGTATTGTTTCCAATGACTTGAGTTCATTATGCCTGTGTAACAAATATAGGAGAAATCTGCGGCACGTTGAAAAGCGCTTGTTTTGTAGTTCGCTGGGGGTTTCTACAAACTGGCTGTAATAAAGCGACCGTCAACTGAAAAATTAGGTTTATGATTTGTTCAAGGAAGGTTCCCAGGTTTCTAGGCGGTCGTAAGTGGAGTAGGTGTGCGGTTACTGTGGGGGCTACAATGATGTGGTTAACCATATGCGCATGCTATATTTTAGTGAATTAAGGGTCTGGAAATAAGTGCCAATGTTCCTTTCTTGTGGTTCTCTGACATAACACTTGTTGTTTGATAAATCAAAGTTGATTGTATTGACAACATAATCAACATTTGGATCTTGTTCACAGTTAGTTAACATGATATGAAAGGCATTCGAGCTTGCTTCTGTATGCGACAAATAAGACTGTCAAGTACACTGACTGAAAAAAAAAACTAAAACGGATGTAAGTAGATTTTCCAGATCGTAGACGTGCATTTTAATGTTTAACATCACGAATGTACAAAACAATATTTGTTCTGCGCATCACAGGGATTACGCGTAACTGGTACACTGGCAATACCACCGGCCGTTGCGCCTTGCATTCATTCATGTCCCTATCTATCCAATATTCCTTTTGCCACGACGATGCTCGTGTCAGCAGATAACTTTAAGGTCAACCGCAAACGACAAACTGCTTTTAAGGACATTCCGATACCTGGCTTCTAAACGAGTTATTTAGAATATAAAAATGCACTAGTTAACGTGTAGGCCTGATGTTACTGCTATTAAGTAAGTAACAAAAAAGGACACGGGGCGTCCGTTAACCTTTTGCACGGGGGATCGAGGGTCCGTATTTACGTAACTCAACCACTGTTACAAATACGCTCTTTACAAAAGAAAGGAATAACAGTTACAGAACAATACTAAATGTGTCCGATTGACTTAGTTCACTCGTTTATAAAAGCCAAAGAAAAAAAGTAGTGCACAGGTGCGCACTGGTAGCACTAGAGTAGGAAGGAAAAGTTTTTGTGCCCATTCAGTAAAAGTTGCAGAGAAATTGATAAAAACATGCTAACAGAAGGCAGTTTGCTGGAGGTGTGTCCGGGGGCGTGACCCATTTTCAGCCAATCAAATCCGTTTTCATTTGATTTTCGGTTTTTCAAGGCCGGCCGTAATTTCCATTCACATTTGCAAATTGTTTGTCAAATTAAATTCACGTGTGCACAATCGCGAGGGGACCCCATATAAGAGGTGTTTACCGGTTACTTGTCCACTTCCATTGGCTCTTTGCCTCTTGGTCTTTCTACACAAGTGCATTGTACGGCTTGCCCAGGCTAACAACAAGTTCTGATAAGGTAGGCGGAGGTGGTTCGATGATGATAATGCTTCTTCAATTTTAGAAAAAAAATTAGTTTTATTTTGAACTGTATGAGATATTATTTCGAAGTGGTCGTTGAGACAATTGTGAAGAGAGATTTTCAGGCTAAGTGATTTCAATACATTTATGTGTAATTTTTAGTTATGATCTGTTTTCGATGAAATCACTTGTTTGCCAACATGTGGAAAAAAACAAGACAGCGTTTTCAACAAGAAATGTTTTAATGTGTTTAGTGGTGGGCCACTTCTGTTCTGCAATAATTCCCTTTTTTCATTTCTTTGCTATCTTTTCTTTCTGTATAATTTTTTTTTTTTGTTTTTTGTTTTTTTTTTTTTTGTGGGGGAGGGGAGCACTTTGTCAGATAATATTCGTGAAGTCGGTTGGTTTGCGGTTTACAATTGTAAAAACAACTGTCAAAAATGATTTCTAATGCGGGTAAGCTTAAAGACGCTTTAAGATATCGCATGTCAACACCAGTGGTTAATGAGTTGTCACAAACTACCCCCTTCCGGAGATGTGCCTATTACGCGTTTAACTTCTTGTGCAATCTCAATTTCGTCGGGTCACGTCAGCTCAAGGTGGTACTGGAGTTTTTAGTTCTCTTGTTGCGTGACGGATTGAGCAGTGTTTTTACAGTAGGTGGCTGGTGTGATGGGTAATGATTGTAACTCCGGTATTACGGGTGAGGAATTTCTCTAAATAAATCGTTTGGTTTACACTGGGTTGACGCATCTGCTTTGGCCGGTCGTATCTGCCCAGATAGATGCAAGGCATCTTTAAGGTCGATCGTTACGTATTTTGATAAATGCTTTCTCTGGATGAAATAACACTACAACTCTTTGAAAAGCTTTTCTAGTTTTCCTTTACATCAAATCTAGTATCCCTCCTGAGATGGCACGTGAGCTCAACCGCCACACATTTTCAACCTACGCGTATAGATCTGTTAAAAAAAAAAAAAAAAAAAAAAAACAGCTAAGACCCTCCAGGTAAACAAAAAGGTGTTCTTATGAATTGCTGCTATTTTCCACAAAGGCAGCACACTATGTTCACGCACTTATCCACCCTCTTGCCAATTTTTGGACCACGAAAACAATAGAAATTATACGTGCTCCATTTTGACGGCTCGCTTCATTCGATTAGATAAGCACTATGGTGATCTAGTAATCGTGAACTCATTTTTTTCTTCGTGTGTTTGCTTTCAAAACTGTGTTTACTTTCATTTTCTCTTTAGAATCGAGATTAGGTTCACCCCGTACAACAGGATGTTAGCTACTTGTTATAGGGGGTGTTTGTGAAAGGCGTCTGTCTTTAAAGTCGCATTTCAAACCGTTTCAAGTATGGAACCAAATACTTGCTGCTCTTGCGGTTTATAAGTCTCCCCCACATTCCCTCACAACAAGAACCATTCTTTAATTTTCTACAACCATAGTGCAGCTGAGCAGTCTACATGCATTTCACAGACTGAGTTTGCACCCCCCCCCCCCCCCAACTAGTTCTTGATTTGAAATCTTTCTCTCATCGGAGAACAACGGTCAATCTTCAGAGGGGTCTGTATAGACAGTCATGGGTTAGCGTTGGGCGGGACAGCAACGGTTGCACATGGTGCCCGATGAGACACTTTGAGGCTCATTTGTAAGTGTAGCAAGTGAGAGGGTCCTGAACCCGAACCAGGTAGCATATTAAATCTGGCCTCTAGGTCTCTTCTACCTACCTGAAGACTTGTGTGTGGTCGCCTAATGGAATTGTACTTAAAGTACTTCGTAATCAGAGGATGGCGGCTTGCAGGAGGAGACAAATCTCGTTTTCTCTCGCATTTTCTTTAGCGCTTATGTCGTCTGACATCGATTACTTCCATTGTGAATGCTAAACATAAATTTCCCTCTTATGTTTTGTCAGTTTTTTAGTCGACACAGCAATTTTGGAATGTTATGCAAGTGTTTCTTTTCTTTTGAAGAATTTGGGTTTTTCAAGTCGTTGGCTGCATGTGGATAAGGATACTTGATAACACTTTGCTGCAAATTCTTCATTGCCGTATTTGATGTCCTTGTTAATCGTTTGAAGAAAAGATTGGTTTGAAACCACGTGCACAATGTTATGCAGCTTCTTGCAGTTGCTTAACGCCCCGGAATTATCTAACAGCAACTTGCTAGTTACTCATATAATCTATATATGATAAATGTATTGCCCCAATTATTAAACACTAGGTCAATTAATTTTTTTTACCCAAAATAAACTTCATACATATTTAAATCCCTTGTAAACAATGTATTTATATTGCAAATAACATTTTATATGTTTTATAAGGTCCCAAAACATATTAACATTATAGATATGTCTTAATCAAAAGTTCACAGTTTTAATATTACACCCCCTGTAGTTACTTCATCACCTATTTTGCGCTTGACCATTCAAAATGGGTGTTATTTGTCAGCGTACTATACAAAGCATAGAATTATACCGAAAATTATTATAATGCATGAACTTTTAATCTTGCAATAGAACTTATATTTATTAAAGTCAAATTTAAATATTATATACTATTTATTCAAGGCGACGTTCTAAGGGAAATTGGAGACATGAACATACCCTGGGATAAACCAGATTTCTGCACTGTACACTACTTTAAATGCTTTGTCTGAACAAACTCAGGTCTTTGACTTTTCAATATATCTGTCCAAAGCCAATGGACCGTAATAACAACCTAGGGTGAATATTATATAAGATTTTAACCTCTTTCACGATCCAATGAACATCTGTTGTTGTGATTGAGCCTTGAATCTAAAAATCTCAGTCCCTCGATCTTTTTATTGCAGAAATGGACAAGACGATCATCGCCCTCATCTTTCTCTCAATTCTTGTCTGCGAGATGTTGCTGACGTCAGCAGCGCCCACACGTCATCATAAACATCACAAACGTCACGCTGCAGAGAAACACTCAAACAGAATATCAAAGCACGCAGGTAAGGTAAAATCGTATAAGCATTCAGTAGTGATTGAAATAACTTTTATTTTTTAACCTTTTAATCTTTTTCTTCTTTTTTTTATATTTACTTTATTTTTATTATTATTTTGGCTTTATTCTCCTTTCGAGATTGCCACCAACGGGAGATCATTGTAAAGCTTTTCTTGTCCAGTTTATAAAACGAATGTCCTGTTGCGTTCAGCAGTTACCAGTTTATCTTCGATGTTAGGAATTTCTCGATCAGATAGATATTTAATATGTCTGTGTGTTTTAAATCGCTATTGCGTATCCTGATATTCATTATAAATCTGGTATTTAATATTTGCGTGTATTTTAATTTTCTACCGAGACATTCAGTATGTATGTGAGCGTATGTTGATACTAAGATTTTGTTCGATTTTGTTACAGAAAGACACCACAGGTTACACAAAAGAGACGTTACAGATCTAACAGCGGTAGACCCCAACACTCCCCGTTCCCGAGTAAAGAGGCATCACCTTCGACGGAGAAGCACCATGCCTTTTATGGTGGTTTCGATAACCTTAAACAAGCCGACTAAACAGCAACGCCAGCGCCTAAACAGAGGAGCTATTATTGCTGAAATGTAAACCGACACGGAGAATCTCAAGGCTATGACGTCACCTTAATCAACATTCCATTTCATTCCATTCTCATCGACTGAAAAACATGTCAAGCATATCAATAGTGTGACGTCACACTACGCCGTCGAGTCAAGAAGAGGTACGAAAGGGGCGCACATGATCTTGGTGTCATTGAGGTATAAAAAGAACTGGCAAGTTTAAAAAATGTGTGGACTACGCCATTCGGCGTAAACTGTGCGTCCCTGAAGAAAAGGGTGCGTGTCTTTTTGTTTCTTACCAACTTCTAGTCAAACAGTTGGAAGATATTCTTTCAAGCGATTCCATGATCTCATCTCTTTGTGGGCAACTTAAAGCGCTGTATTGCCAGGGACGTTCGTAGGTGAGTCCCTGTTGCAGATACACATGTACATACAGACTGGGCGGCTATATGCTGCCAAGCATAATCGGTTTGAAAACGTCAACTGCGCTCTTTCGAAACGTGACAAGAACGTAACTGCGAAATGAAAAGCCTACAGTAAGCCGCCCATGAAAGGGTGACTTGAAATTAAATATACATAAACTGTTCGATCTGAAAGTTACAACTTTGCGACGGTTATCGTCAATGGGCACCAGCGTAGAAAATGAGTTAAAGACAAATGTACGGTCTTTTAAAGGAGGAACTCTTACGATTAACTTATTGTAAGAATGAGCTGCATTTAAGAATCTCGATTTCGAATAAACGAAAACGGGAACGCCTTATAAATAAATTGTAATTTTTTAAAGAAAAAAAAATCGCCTGTAGTTCCTTTTATATTTCCGTTTCACAGAATGACACCATGTATTGGCTTAGATTTTATTTCTCGCCTTAAATGTCACAAGTTCACGGGTACCCCTTTCATGAATATGCGACCAGTACATGTCTTCTCTGTGACTGATGTCAGGTTTCCTAAATATTGAATTTCAATAATAACCGATAAGCCCGGTCATCGACACGACATTCTCGAATGAGAGTAGAAATTAGTTGTCGGGAATTTCTCGGTCCTTTATTCGTTCAGAAAACTTGACGAATTTCCAAATTATTGAGTTATGGTGCATGTAATTGCCAATCAACCCATGTCTTTGCCCTCACCATATTTGTGAAGGGATAAGGATATGAACTGGTGTAAACTTAATCCTTGATTAGCGTTCAAACAAGATCGATTTTTAATCGGAAATCTGGGTAAATTACATCATGACGATCAGAGGCCCAAAAGAATTTTTAAATTATTAAAATTTTTATCTAATTCTTTTAATTTTTCATTAAATTGGTTAACGAAAAGGAACGATTTTAACATGCCACTAAAATAAAAAAAAAAACAATCCAAGTTGCTTATTCTGACAAAATTTCAAAAGTTAATCATGATTAGAATTTATTGGTAGTGCGTTGTTTTCGTCATACATCGATATCTGTTTATTGCCTAAAACGTATTTTTATGCAAAGATCCATAATAAAGTAAGTCATTGACGCTTTCTCAACTACCCATCAGTTTGTAGTTGCAGTATTCAGAGACCTGTTTGAAAATCTGTTTGTTAGTTGATATCTTTACTGATTCAAAAAGTACTCCATTCAGCAATTGAAATTATGACATCAGCCAAGAAGTCAATTCATCAATCTTGCTCGTATGCGAGGTTCAAGGCAACACAAGCTTAAACATTCCACACGTGTTTGCCTGCGTCACCCAACGGTAGCTTTTGTCCTCGGCCCGTCAACGGTGCTGCCCCCGGCGCTGCGTTACTGTTATTCTTCAACGCGTATAATATGATATAATTTGCCGAAGGTCACATATACGATAAATAAATAAACATGTATTAGTGTGATTCTTATTATTATAAGCGTCAAAGGAAACGGTTACCAACTGCAGGATACAAAAATAACTCGGTTTTTGAAGTCTTCTGTTATTCGTTTTAAATTTCTTGTATTACTTACTTAAAGCTACCTGGGGCTTAATATCGGATAGCGTTCCAGTGGAATTTGCGACGGGAAAAAACACTTAAGTCAAAATGTTCTTATTTGTTGTACAATGTAAGAAAATACTTGGCAACTATCACGACCGACCATGAACATAAATAGCCTTTATTTCTGTCAAATTCCTATGGCTTTAAAATTCCATTTTTATTCAGTTAATCTCTCTTTTTGCTACTGTCCAATTTCGCAATTTTTCAATACTCATCAAATGCAAAGAAGGGCTATTAGGTGATCGTTTGACTAATTTGCTGACAAATACTTACTCTATACAGCTACATTCTATTTGTAAGGTTGTTTGTTTGACCTGTTACATAGAAAAAGGCCCGAACCACACAATTCAAGTTTTGATAACGTGTTTATCATAGTCTTGTACAGGGGTCCGTACATAGGAAAATCAACATACAGATAAGCATAGCACCGAATAGACCTGAATAAATATAAATATCGCGCAATTGACAATTTCAGTGCACCATATTCTGGGACGAATGAAGCACAGGAATACGGGGCTCGGCCACACCTGTACAGCTAGGACCTGAACTGTTGTTGTTCACCTGTTTTCCTGTTTAGATGGATAGAAAGTGGAATG